TCGTTTGTTACGTTCGCCATCATCACTCTAATTGTCTGCACCTGCATCTCGTTTGTTACGTTCGCCATCTTCCCATTAATTGTCTGCACCTGCGCATTGGGTGCAGAAGCCTGTTAAAGCGCAGTATTTTCAGCGCCCCAAGACCATAAAGTTCTGAGACGCTGATTGGCCATTAAATTGACCTAGCAATGGTACATGATTGGCAGATTCTCTGCAAATGTGGGTCAGTCTGATCAGAGCCCCAAGACAGAAACGGTAGGAGTCTGTCTGTGGAAATCCACAAATGAATGACAGTAGATAGGGAAATGTAGTTTATATAATTTGTTTTGCTTATATGTAAACACTCTAGAGAGTAAAACTGACATTTATGAGTTAATTTGTAAAAATATATTTTACGTTTCTCTCTTCTTATCAGGGAGGGCGGTGCCCCAGCGCCCCCTATGGGCCGGCCGCCACTGATAGAGATGTATATCCATATATGGTTACTTCTGATGCATTGCAGGGAACTCCCATCCTCTAAAGAAACCACAACAGGAACTTTGCTGAGGACGGGGTTGTGAGTTCAGTTCTGTCATTTCAGCATTTTATGTCATTAACTCACAGAGGTAAGAACATGAGGATCCATTCTGCTGTTCTTCATTTGCTGTTGGGCTTGATGGGTCATCAGGACGCTGCTCAGGTCCAGTATTATGGGACCGGAGGTTCTCTGGTTCTGAGGCCTAAATTCTCCGGTAAGATAACCAGCATCACCTGGAAGCATAAAGGGAACATACAGGCTGATTGGATTAAAGGTTCTTTCCCATTGGAATATCTGGGTGACCTGAAAGGTCGGTTAGACCTGAACCTGACCACCGGGATACTGACTGTGAACAACATGATGAAAGCAGACCAAGGACTGTTCAGTGTGGAGATCAACAACAAGGTTCTTCCTGACGCCTTTGAAGCTCAGTGGATCGATAACCTCAATGATCACAAAGTTGTAGTCATAGCGACACCTCTGACCTGCAGCAGTCAGTCTCCGAGCTGCAAACTGAGGTGTGGTGAAGAGATTAAAGGTGCCGGAACCATCCAGTACTTCTGGAAGAAAGGAGAGAATGGATCATGGGAGCAGGGAGAGAGGCTGATTGAGATTGAAAACACGGATGAAACTCGACGCTTTAAAACCTTCACCTGCAGAGCAATGAATCAAATCAGCGACAAGGAGAGCAAACCGGAGGAGAACCCATTCATCCTAATAGAACGTGTGCTTTTCTTCAAAATTGTGATCAAATCTGTGGCCCTCCTGTTTCTGCTTATCTTTATGGTTTGGTTCTTTTGGAAGAACTGGAACGTCCTCTGTAGGTGTGGGTGCAGAGACAGAGAGAAGGATGACCTCTAGCTTTACTTCAGGAGCGGTTTGATTACTTTGTGCATCAGCAGGANGTTATCGCCTCAAACGATTTCAAAACGAACTTTTGAAGAACAACAGCAGCAGAAAAGGGAGGAATAACTTACCACTGTGAGCGCTGTCTGGAAAGAAGCTGCGGCCGCGGGGCATTCTGGGGAAGCGGTCAGTCTGAAGAACGCACAAGTCTGCTCTGATGCATGCTCGATAAAGAGGGCGGGGCTAGAACAACATCCGGAGATTTGGTGCGTTCTCGATCTGGCGTTCTTGAGAATTGGAACGGTACTCGGGCTGAGGCTAATGACGGATCACGAGTACACGAGCACACAAGAACGCTCAAGAACGCATATTGAGAAACGCCCCGAGTCTCAAACTGTAGTTTTCATTTCTGCCAGATTTATCCATGAAGGCTTTAGATGTTTCCATGAGCTCCTGTAGCATCTCTGTCCTTTGGGAGAAACCCTGATAAAGCCGGTTGAATGAAAACCTTCCTGTTCCATTATAGCCCTAAAATAATGCTCAGGATAATTAGCATGTAGCTTCTAGTTTCTGTTGAGACATTTTATTGGGTGTTTAAATGTTCAAAATAAATGTAAAACATTTTTAAAGACTTTAACGTTTGACCATTGGTGGTTGGAGGAGCCATTTGCCTTTTCCTGTGTATCGCCACCAGGGGGCGTATTTCATTTTGAGCTCTGATTGTCTGATGGGGGATGGGGTTATTTAAGGTCAACCCTGATTCTGTTCAGGTGTTGTTACTGAGAGGAGGCAACAGTTTTCTACTGTGTTTGGTTTAATGCCCTACTTATGTATTTATGTAAAGGCAATTAGTAAAACTATGGGCATTGTTATGTTAATAAATCTGCATGATAATCTTAATTGAGCGCACGTAAAACCAACGCCTTTCAGAGATAGCAACCAGTAGCCTAAAATATAGGATTTTAGCTGCTACAATCATTCTAGATTAAATATAAATTAATGGATTATTATTTTAACATAAATAATCTAATTCCGTTGGTAAATTATCTAACCTACCTGCTCAAATCGAGGGATAATTCTTTCAAGATAAATGTTCTTAATTATATTTTTTCTTTTTCCTGCTCATGTGTGTTGAAGTGTGGGGGACCAGGTTGAAAACGGAAGGAGTCACAGGAATTATAATTTAAAAAGTTCTTTTAATTGACCCAAAAAAAAAATTTAATTATAAACTGCTTGGCTCAGAAAAGTTCAAAGAAAAAAACTGAACTCAGGCAAAAATGTGAACAAAGCAGCTGCACAAAGT